GAGGTTATGGCTTGTTTGGGGTCAAAATATTTTCTAAGGTTTAGAATTTTAAGATTTAGGGTTTAAAAGTCTGAAAAAGCAGGAACCCTAGCACAAGATACAAACAGAAGTATAGTGCACACCACAGAGCAGTTCCAATAAAAATAATTTGTCTTTATTGCTTTTCACGACAGCTGCTTTTTCAAAGCAACTCGTGCAACAAATAGATTACACGAACAGTCTTATAGAACAGATTCACAATCCTATTCTACCCAGAACGTGTTCCTAATCTACCCAAGAATGCAACCCAACAACAGTTACGAAGCCGTAGCACCTGCTACACACAGCACTGCTGCAACAGATAAATTACAAGAATACTTCTATAGAACAGATTCAACGATCCTATTCTACCCAGAGTTACACAACACCACTCACTGTGATTTGCTCCTGGACATATTCTTAATCTACCCAAACCTGTAACGCAACAGCAGTTGCGAAACCTCTGTTCTTCACTCCTCACTCCAAAATCCCTTTTCTGGGTTTTTGAATTCTTCAAATCTCTTTCACTCACGCTGGTTTATTTTTGTGCGAGAAGAACCACTGAAAACGAAGCACTATCACCCAGTTATATTCGTCATCACTTTACCAAGTAGAGTCAAAAGTCATGCTTTTGACCAACAGACAAAACACTGTTACGCAACAGTGAAACACTGTATCACATGTCCCATCGCATTTAAGGAATGCTCCATGCTTCACCTTTTACGCTTTCTCCATATTGTCAACACTTTATTCCGTATTCTCCGAGCTGCTCCTCTGCTTCAAACCCAACTTGCTCTTCACACGACTCGAGGCGCCACCTGTCACAGCAGCTGGCGTGTTGACTTTAATACTTTGACTTCTCTGTTGGAACCTGAGTGACACAGAGTTTCTTCAAAAATCTCCTGAGTGACACATGACATCTTCAGAAATTTCTTTCCTCCATTGATACTTGATGCAAATCTTGATGCATCTACAATCTACCCCTTTTTACTTGAGTATGTCAATCCAAGCATCCTGCACAGAGAAGCAAACACACAAGTACATAGGACCAATGAGCGGCAATTCGAGACACACTCCTCACTTAACACCACAACCTACTAGCTTCTTCTAGAGGTGTTTCCCAAGGCTTATAAGTCTCAATGTTTATGATATCATCTAAAGTACTTCAGAGATATAAGAAAACATTGTCAATTCCCTCTATTGTAATCATAGCCTTGCTTGTCATTCCTGGT